ATCGAGAACGTATGAGAGAGACGAGAGGTGGGAGTCGCCGAGGAAAAATCGTCATAGGAATGTTAATAATAACGAGGGAGTCAATTTGCGATATCAAGGGCGACGTTATCGGGAACGTATGAGAGACGAGAGATAGGAGTCGCGCGAGGAGAAGATCGTCATAGAAGTGTTAATGATAACGACGGAGAGAATATTTTATTAGGAATGTAAAAGAGGAAAGAGGTTTTATAGGATACTGCGATTAGGCGCGCGTACTGTGTCTAGGCGTTTTCCGCGGGGTCTAGCGCATCCTGTTTTCACGCCGATGGGAAGGCGCGTGTTCTGATTATATAGGATGCTGCGCGTTCTGTCATTTCAGGATGTCGCGATTGTCGCGATTTGGCGCGTCTCCGACTCTGCCTCGGAATATATATATCTAGTCGCAAGAGACAGTTTTTTCCATTTTCCAAGAACGTGGTATATGGAAGAAGTCGTGCTTAATAGTGGTTCGTCTTCGAGCGAGAGCGATGATCCGCTTTTACGCGCGTTCGATCATAACGTGACGCATCGCGATTTCGACAGCGATATCGGTGATGACGATAACTGCGACTCGGTTACCGAGAATGACGATAGTTTAGAGTGTCACGAGACTATCGTGCCTAGCAACGACGAGGAGTGGATCGCGATGAGAGAGACATTCGCTGGAATGTGGTCACGTATCACTTGCGATGGGAGATCGGTACGGAGAGCCCGCGAGAAAAACTGTGGATCGTTGCTCTGAGCGACAGAGCGATGATCTACGAGAGAATAGCGAGACAGAGAAAATTTCGAGACGTCAAATTCATTGTTCCTACGATCGGGGTAACACCGTGTGGGAGATGCGATATGGAGAAGAATCGCAATCTTCTCGAGCGCGCGGCGGGAGTTGAAGAAGTGTACGCCTATCGCGTTTGGGAACGGAAATGCGTCGAGTGTCTCGAGATTTTGAGAAATAGGTGCGAGAATAGAGTCGATCCTACAGTTACCAGAACGATAAATTCTCTGATCTCTCGAGTAGCGCAGTTGGAGGGTGCGTGACTCGCTCTGAGTCGACGTTTCGGTTACTCGGGTGCGGGGTACGATGGTTCGAAGGGATTCGAATGGGTGGATATCTAGATGGCCTTCGCGTACAAACGGATGCAGTAGTAAACAACGAGTACGTTAAGCTCCGGTTTCTCGAAGACATGAGAGACATGGCTCGAGCGAGTGCGCGTCGATCTCGAGACGCACGCGTGTTTGAAAGTCAACACCGCGTTTCGTCGCGAATAATAAGAGCGCTGTTAAGAGCATTCGTACAAGGAATCTTCAGCTATTCGATATGTCCGATCTACGAGAATGGTACAACGAAGATGTTAAGGATATTATCTTGACGTCGCTGGAAAAATTTCAGGAACGCAACAGTTGGGCGTTACTTCGGATATTAAATTTGATGATCAATGTGAACAAGTGTAATTCTGCACGCTGGATGTTGGATGTCACTTCCTCCGAAGATAAGATATAAGAAAGCCGTGATCAACGTACGTGATCAACATACATTCAAACGACTTCGCGTGGGTGGTGATGGCCGCTCCTGTCTACATTCGGACAGACCTTCGTCGTATACTCATTATTCATTAGTGTTGAATTTCGACGTATCAACTTTCCTATGACGCTACGAAACATCGCTAGATTCGAACGTCTTAACGAGTTGTCTATCAATGTATTTGCTATTCGAGAGAAAAGGGAGAGGAATGGCATCATGATTGTTCCTTTGTTGCTCACGGGGAATAAAAAGTCTACGTGAATTTGCTCTATCTGTCGAACGAGCGGCGTGGCGATGTCGGTCACTTCGTATGGATAAAGCACCTGTCTTGACTGTTAACGTCACAAATAAACAAGCATAAGGAGAAAAAGTACATATGCGGTAAACGTAAGAGAGAGACTATGCTCGTCACGAGATAAATTTTGTATTAATTATAAATTGTTTTTTCAGATGTCTGCATTACTTTTACTCGAACGAGAAATTGGTCGCGCATAGCGTCGAGTGCGGAAGAGCGAACGATTGCGCCGTTATTCTTCCGAGCGAGGACGACAAGTGGCTCTCTTTCCGCAATCACGACCAAAAGGAGAGATTATGATTCGTCGTGTACGCCGATCTGGAGTGTGTTTTAGAAAAGGGAGCTCGACAGTTCACGGAGAATCTCGATAGTAGATTCACCTACAACATCACAAGGCGTTCAGCGTGGGATATTATGCATAGCAACGAAATCGTGCAACGAAATCGTACAACGAAATCGTATCCGCGTATAGATCTTGTCGAGGCGATGACTGCGTCTCGTGGTTCGTCGAGGAGCTGCGCGCTCTCGCGTGTCGCGTGAGGAAGGTTCTCTGCGCGAGCGTACCGATGTCGGGGCTTACGCCGGACGAACGGAGCGCTTTTCAAAGGACGACAAATTGTCACGTGTGCGGAAGAATCTTTGGGCCGTACGACGTTCGCGTGCGCGATCACTGTCATCTCTCGGACGTTACAGAGGACCCACGCACGCGAGCTGCAATTTGAACTATCAGAACGCGTTCGTTATTTCCGTTTTCTTTCACAATCTATCCAGTTACGACGCGCATTTTATCAAGGATGTAGCGAACGCTTTCGAAAGTAGAGTCTGTTACCGCTGATTAAGGAAAATTACATCGCATTTTCGAAAACCGTCAACGATTCGGTGTACGGAAAATGGAAAAATTGTGTTAAGCTACGTTTCGTTTAAGTTTCTCAATACCAGTTTAGAAAAAGTAGCTTCGTATCTAGATCGGGAAAAATTGAGGATCGCGCGATTCGAATTCTTCGGTCTCGTCGCGGAGGATTTCGAATTGCTCACGCGCAAGGGCGTATTTCCGTACGAGTACGTCGACAGCGTTGATAAACTATTAGAGATCGAGTTACCGCCGATCGAAGCTTTTTATAGTTCTTTAACTGGCGAAACTGTGAGCGATTACGAGCACGCGCGAAGGGTATGGAAGCGTTTTCGCGTGAGGACTCTCGGCAAGTACAGCCATCTATATTTGAAAACGGATGTGCTTCTCTTGGCAAATGTTTTTGAAAATTTTCGGGATACCTGTATGGAGAGTTACAGTTTGGATCCAGCGCATTATTTCACGTTACTGGGATACACGTGGGACGCTATGTTGAAATACACGAATGTTCGATTCGATCTGCTTACCGATATCGATATGGTGATGTTCGTAGAGCGCGGTATACGCGGCGGTCTGAGTCAATGCTCGAACAGATACGCGCGAGTTAACAACCAATACGAATCGTCATACGACTCATCTCAACCGTCGTCGTATGTCATGTACTACGATGTGAATAATCTCTACGAGGGCCATGTGCGAGCCCTTACTGTACGCGGAATTTCGGTGGGTCGAAGACGTCGAAGGTCTCGACGTTATGTCCGTGCCACCTGACTCCGATATCGGTTATATTCTAGAAGTCGATCTCGAATATCCGCGATATCTTCACGATGGCCATGTGGATCTTCCGTTCTGTCCGACACGCGAAATCGGGAAATCGAAACAAAAAGCTACTCGCCACGGTCTATGACAAATCGCGTTACGTGACGCACTATCGCAATCTTCAACAGTACGTGCGACACAGTTTACGCGTGACGAAGATCTATCGCGTGTTGCGGTTCGCGCAGTCTCCTTGGCTGCGCGCGTACATCGAGCTCAATACGGAACGAAGAACTCGCGCGAGCAACGAGTTCGAGAGGAATCTGTATAAGCTGATGAATAATGCGATTTTCGGCAAGACAATGGAGAACATGCGCGATCACGTAGACGTGAGGCTTGTGACGCGTAATATCGTTGTTGAGGCGTAATCAGGTTGTTGATTCTTCCGAAATGCATGGTCATATTTTCGATATGCGACGGGGCCGGAAAGGACGGTTCTCCGTTTGTACTCTGCAGAACTTCGAGAGAACGTGTTGTTGCTTGAGAAGCTGCCTCCACATATCGAGCGACATCGAGATCTCCTTGCCATGACTATCTCCCAGGATAATGTTCACGCGCGAGGAACGTTCAAGAGTGACGCATACGTTGAGGAACTTGTATCCCGTCTTAGTCAAGGAATATTTTCGTTCTAGAACTCTAACTGGATTATTCGTACAACCGGCATTGTTATAATTCGACGCGATCGGCCTGTCATCGTTGAGCATTCTACTTTCTCCTCTTCGCTCTCGTCGACTTGATGCGTCTCGGAACCCTGCGAATGCTCGATATCTTTACGATCGGAAAGATCGCGCGATCGTTCGTAAACGTTTCGTATCCTTCGCTCTATACACTGTACGAAAACTTCCGTAGCTCCTCCTCCTCCCTCTCCTCCTCTAAATCGTCCTCGCTCGAAAATACGTTCCTCATCTGAGCGAGTCTTTTCAAAAGAGCGCGCAATTGTTCTGACGGAGATATTCGACTACCTCGATGTCAAGGATCTACGAACGTGTGAAAACCCTTCCGAAACGATAGCACGATATCAGGATTCATCGAATTGCGCTCGAATTTCAGCGACGAATTCGCCGTCCACATCTTAAACGCAACCTCGGTGACTCGTAGAACGTTCTCGCTCGCCAGGTGAAAGTTCCAAGCGAGGCGCGTCTTCCTCGCCCATTTCCTTGCCCAAGTCAAAACTCGATATATCTTTGACGCCACATCACGGTTTACGCATCTGTTCCAATGCCTTGTTAAGAACCCCCGCCCCCCCCCATTACCAGGTACACGGTAATACTCCTGGAAAAGCACGATCGCATGTCTCAGAGCCAACGTCGCGTTGTCGGATATCGTCTGCACGTTATCGCTATCTAGATATTCGTAGGTTTGCAAAAACCGAATCGCCTCCTCGTTATCGGTGGCGGAGTCACTATCGGCAGTGGAGTCGCGAATCGCCGCAATAACGCTATCGCACACGCGACTATGGCGATCCCGCGGGCGTCATCGCGCGAGGCGGAAGTCAAACCGACACTGCGCGTCGCCGACTGAAATACGCGCGAGTCGCTCGATCGATGTCGCTATCAGTCGCGAGGCCGACGCGATGAATCGCTCTGACCTTTCATTGATCGCTTAGATCGCGCTTAGTTCTACGCGAAATCTTATTTTTTTACTCTCGTTCGATCGCGCGCTTCTATCTCTAACGACTCGCCGGAATTCCAACTGCAACAAAAATAGTTCGCTCTCATGCTTTTCTCGCGCTTTACTCGTGTTATAAAAAACGCATCAACTCTACATACAGGAACCGAAAATTTCAACCGCGATTACGATAACAGTTTTATTAGTTTATTAGTTTCTATTCTCTATTGCGATAGCAAGATCATTCTCATCGAACGAGAGTAAATAATAGAGAACAAAAAATAAAAACATAAATAGCGATAGAATAGAAAAAATAAAGAACGATAAAGTAAACGATAGACGAATCTCCTATTGCCTATGCGGTCGGGCTTCCGGTAGCCGCGCGTAACAAGCGCGGAAAAAACGCGTCGTGAAATCATCTAGATATTTTTTTTCCTCATCACTCTTTACCTCTTCTCCCTTTTTACTATTCTTTCTACTATTCCTAATTTATTATGATTTATTAATAATATTTTAATATTCTCTCGTTATTATTTACACTCCTACGACGAGTTCCTCCTCGCGCGACTCTCACCTCTCGTCGCTCACGGTATCGCAAATTGAAAACTTCCGGCGCGTCACCGATCCGCCTCTCGTATCTACGACATGTAAACGAAAGAAGGGAAAAAGAACTCCGCCTCTCGCGGTTAGTTAATCGCCCGCAATAACGATGTGTATTAATGGCAATTCATATTTTTTTATTTTAACCATATCTCGTACATATATATTTATTAATATATTTATTAACATATTTAATAATATATAATATTTAATAATATATTTAATAATAGATTTAATAATATATTTAATAATATACTTATTAATATACTTATTAATATATTTATTAATATACTTATTAATATATTTATTAATATATTTATTAATATATTTATTAATGTATCCGCGATATCTAGCGCGTTCCATCTTCGCGATGACGGGAAGGCGCGCTTCCTGTGTCCGAGCGTTTTCCGCGATGTCTAGCGCGTCCTATTTTGTAGGATGCTGTGATTAGACGCGCATCCTAGTATTTAGGCGTTGTCTATGGGGCTATAACGCCGCTCGTCCTATTTTTTAGAACGTCGCGGTTTAGCGTGTCAATCAAAGTGATTTTCGAGTAATATCTTTTGTGTCGTGTTTACAATGGCGAGAACCATCAAAGTGCCAATTCGATGTCGGCGATGCGAGACGCGAATGATCGACGACGACAAGCTGTGCCGGGGTCATTCGCTGGACGAACTGACATCTTCCCCGTTGCAAAACACAACGGCACATCCGTCGGTCAATATCACTGAATATGTTGTCTTGAGAAGACAATGCGCTTCTAATCGGATAAAGAGGCGCGACCGCCGATTTCCGCCTCAGCGTTGGGTTTCGCCCGAAAGATTAATAGAAGCGTGCATATGCCATCACTATCGAGGGTATTGCACAATCTGCAATTAGAGGTGCTTTACAAAAAGGAGAAACCGATCAAAATCAGCAGACGCCAGAAGTACTCGGTGAACTTTCACGAAACCAGCTTCTATGACGTATTCAACAACGACGACGACGACGAATAGCTTCTTTGCGCCCCATCGCAAGTCCGGGAGGAAATCCCTCTCCGTCTCGTTGGCCGTGTGCGAAGAGGAGAGGAAGAGAAGGGAACGCGATTGAAAGAAGAAGGGAGTTGGCACGACAATTGCTAGGCGATTCGTTCACCGAGGTATGTGTATGTGTATGTATATGTTTGAACCCTGCGCCGGATCGGAATCGCAGAAAACGTTCTGACACAGGAAGCGCGCCTTCCGCGCAAACGGGACGCGCTAGACCCCGCAGAAGACGCCGCGACTGCCCAAGAGAGAAATTATCCCGTGAGCGCCAAGGGGAAGAAAAACCGCCCCACGAGAAAAACGGAAGCCACCACGCGACCGCCA